AAGAAAGAAAGAAAGAAAGAAAGAAAGAAAGAAAGAAAGAAAGAAAGAAAGAAAGAGATCAACAATCCAAGATTCCTCTGTTGTAAAGACAAGGCCAAAGAGTGCCTTGCACAATTTACATATGATACAGAAAGATTGAAGGAAAAATACAGTAATAATAAACTCATAGTAGCCTAAAATCTAAAAACCAGGGAGAAAAAAAAATCAGAAATAAGGAATAGTGTTTTTTCTCACTTAGCAAAATATACAGTTTGTATTTGTTCCACAGCAACGCCCCGAGTGTTCACATCCTGTTAATTCTGTACGTCTCAAAAGCCTCACATTGACAGAAAAAAACATTCCTTTTTTTTTTTTTTAAAAAGAGAGACAGATAAACTATTAAATGCATCAGCCTCTCAGCTCTCTCTCTTCCCTTCGGAAATTGCTTTAGTTGTACATCAACTGGTCCTTTAAAAAGACTTTGTTCTTCTATGACCAAGTCCATACCTTTCCCTGTCCCAAAATATATATATATTTATATATATCTAAAACAAACAAACAAAAGATTTCAAAGCCAAATAAAAATATTCCTTGATAAAAGCTACCTACACACAATCACCAAAAAAAATAAAATAAAATAAAATAAAATAAACAGTTCTTCTAGCAGCTCCGAAAAAGAGCAAAAGAACCACAATGAAAATGAGAGTGCTGATCTTGGCCCCCCGACCCCCCCAAATTAAAAAATAAAAACTAACGGGCTACCAAAATAAATAAAAGAAGAAGCAGTGGGTCAGAGGACTGGGGAGAAGTGTAAACGGTCGGTGGTTAGTAACAGGAGGAGGCCGAGGAGTTCTCCTCACGTTCGAATCCAGTGCTTTCTGGCCAGTGGGAGAGGGGGCTGGCCGGAGCCCAGCTGACAGCCACAAGTGTGCAGTTTTTGAACAAAAATGAAATCTTGGCTCATCCCTCCAGGTCTGCTGAATCCTCCAGCTTGCTCTCCTGGGTGTGCTCACTGGGGAATCTGCAGGAAGCAAAGACAGGAAAGCAGAGCAGCCAAGATGACCCTCTGGGACCGTCCGGGAACTGTCCACTTTGCAACCCTAGTGGTCTGCGGGCCAAGGGGTGCAGCACACACCTCCCCAAAGGGCTGGCTGTCTTCTCCGGCCCTCAGATGGGTTGGACCTACGATTCCCGGAGCCCCCAGCCGGCACCCCTCGGACACGTTCAGAAGGCAAGTCAAACGACGTCCCAACTATTGATGCCTATCGCACCCCAGCCGCGCTTCACCCAGCGCACCAGATCTCCTTATCAGCTACAATTAGCCAATTGGTAGTCCTCATCTAACAATGGTAATTGGGACAGGAATTTCCATCACTGAGCAATGTGGTCGTAAAGCGTGAAGTCATGTGACTGTGCTGCTTAGCGATGGCAGTTCCGGCAGTCCCTGGTTAACGTCGTTAAGCTAATCACACAGGTTGTTAAGGAAATACCTCACTTGATCACGACTTACAACTTCCTGTCAGCTTTCCCACTGACTTTGTGGAAATCTGCTAAGGAAGGTTGCAAATTGCAACCATGTGACTGTGGGACGTTGTGACGGTTGGAAATCTGGGCCGGTTGCTGACTGCCTGGATTGCAATCACAGCCAGAACTTCGAGGACCGGTCATAAGCACCACTCATTCAGCACTGTTGCAAGTTTGAACGGTCGCTGAATGAGTGGTTGTTAAATGAGGACTGCCTGTAAATGGTTCAAAAATTCACCATTTGGGGACTTCCTGCTGAGACTCTGCAACAGGAGGGCACTAGAAAGGCTTGATATGACACTGCCACCCTCTCCGTACTACCCAGGTGGGCAACAGCAGATGTGGCTCAGCCACTACAGCAGGGTGGCTGAAGGTGCCTTCTGTGCTGCAAGACCATAGTACAGAATTCTTGCTTTTTCAGCCACTGTTTCTCTCCAGCACTTTTTTCTGGAGGACTATGTAGGTCAAACAGGTCAATGGCTGGACTAAGAGGTCCCCACACTATGACTGACTGGGAGGAGTTACTTTACCTGTGTGAGTGACTGATTCTGTCTGGGGTTAAATTTAACCCTCTTGTTTTAATGCAGTATTTCTGAAACTCCTGGGAGTTGAAGTCCACACATCTTAAAGTTGCAAAGTGTAAAAAACACTGTTTTAGTGTTTCCACAACAAACTACCTTCCTTCCACTGCCCCAGTGAAGCATGCTGTGGAATAGAGCCTATCACACAGGACGGGGTCCACCAGCACCTGCACAGTGGGACAACAGGACTCCCTTGTGGGTCAGGTGTGTGGGCCTCTTGCTCCATTCACGCCAGGAAAGGCTGCTTCACACTGACTGCCTCCACACAGCAGGTTTAACCTGGTTGCTGAATTAGCCTATTTTCTGAGCTCCCATAATACACTGAACCCCATGGGCTTACTAAATGTTGCTCTGGCCCCCAAAAGACTCCAAACAGCTGATGGGCTGAGCAAATGCAACCACGGGGTCTTTATTTGACTGGTTAAAGAGGTGAGCAAGTCCAGCCAGTGGACTTTGATCATTCGCTCTGGGCCACCTGGACCAATTTCTCCAGTGCAAAGAGAGTGTACAGTCTACCTGTCAAAGTTTCAAATTCCAAAGCAAGTAGAACAAAGTAAGATATAATTCATTATAAAACCAGCAGAATCACACTAAAAACTGAATACCTACCCATCCATTAAAAAAGCACAATAAATCCAATTGCCAGTTCATTCCTAGACTCTATTTAGACTTGTTTTAAAAAAGGATTTGGCAGCCTCACAGTGTGTCAGATTTGACACGTTTCGGACGTTCCATCCGTGGGAAAGCTCTGCCTGAGGCTTAAAGACAGAGGGTGTCGCCTACACAACTTTTTGCCCCAGATGAGACCGCCCAATGGAGGGAGAAAGTGTCCCAGGGCAGATTTACGAGTTCCTCCTAACTGAAGTCAAGCAGAGGCTTTTCTCCTCCTCTGCCCCGGAGATCCCACTTACCTTCTGTTTTCTTGGTCCTCAGCTTCAGTGATAACCATTAGTAAACGCCGTTGCAATCAAGGGCCCCTGCAAGAAATTGCACGCTGCTCACTGGGATCCCCAATGATTCGCAAAGGACTTGCAGCATCCGATAAAGCTAAACAAGTTCCCAGAATTTGGTGAGGGGAGAAGCAGCCCCCAGGCTGGCCCACCTCTTTGGCTGGCTTGGGCTCCCCTCTGGGAGCCTCTCCCAATTCTGCCAACAGCGAGTTGGGCCAGGCAGGGATGGGTGGGGGAGGCTCGGCAGGCTCTTAACGGAAGGTGGGAGACCCTTGTGGGAGAGGGAGGGGGTCCTTCTGCACAGAAGAGGTGGAGCTGTGATTCAACTGAAACAGCTTTAAGGGCTCAGAAGAAACCTGCTTCCTTCAGCAAACAAGGAACGACCAGATCTCAAAGGATCAGCACAAGACCCTTTGCTCATCACCTGCAGCACCTGCCCCTCATCAGACCAAAGACCCCCTCCCTGACTGGGAGCTGGCAGGGACCCTTCTCCTCCACTGGCCCTCGCCCCCTTCCCTTGGGCTTGCCAACCTGTGCCCTACCCTGGAGCCCCCACTGGGCACTCACCCCTAGGCTGTGGCCAAAGCCAGTGCTCGGGGCAGGACTCGCTGCGCTGATGTAACTGCTGACTCC